ATGAATTTAAGAATTTATATTATAAAACATTTTAAATTATTTTCAAATTCTATGAATGTGATAATTAATTAACTCGTGAATTCACATCTATAAAATATGTAAACACTTTCAAAATGACCTTAAAAAAATGTCATTAAGACGATTAACAGATTATCATTTTACACTAATACAAGTATAACTTGAACACGTAATTGTTCTCCAAGCCTACGCCTCAAATTTTGTAGATTCAACAGCTATATGAAATCATAAAAAACTAGAAATATAACAATAATACATTTCTCTAATATTGATGGTATCAATATCTTAATATATGTTCTATCCTGGTTGCGTCCAAACATAGTTGATTAGACAATAGCTGATGTGGTAAACCATCACCTCTGTACTAAAAAATCGCTATTCGCAAATATTTTCATCTCTATTTCCATCTCCCACGTGTTATACTAGCACAAAAACGTAACTTTCATCTGCGACATTAACTAAGCGATAAGAAATTGAAATTCTAGCTAACAAAAGACGCATAATCGATGTTTGCATAAATTAATCCCTTACTTTGCAATTTTTTGACTTCCTATGAATGCAAGCGTCGGGTATTTACTGTTTTAATACCGCGACAGGTAAGAAAAGCTAGAATATTGTACTTACATTATTAACGTTTGAAAATCCTCAGATTTATAAGTTCAAACTACAGCTATAATTAAAATTAATCATTGTTATTCAACTATTTTCGTCGCACCTTGACCATAACCTATGACACGAATCAGGATCGTTGTTATAAGGCAAAGGTTTAAATTAATCGTCCATTAAATTTTGGTATTATTTCTAATTCAACCAATATTTATTCAAACTTTTCTCTGTTGTGTTAATTAACGTATTAATGTTCATCAACGCTGCAAACGCCCAAGGAATTTACACTTTATCAATCATCGATCACACAAGTTCAAATTCTATCGTTCCCTCTTCACCCTTTTTTCCTCTCTCTTTCGCCAAATTTTCAATTGTACTTTTCCATTACGAAATAACAAATCGCGAGAAATCCTCTGTAGATTGGCTTCCAAAGCCGATCAATCGGCGTGTCGCGAGTTTTTACTGACCCTATCCTCCCATCCTTCTTTTTCAAGGGTCGTCGACAGAGCCCTTCGTCAGTTTTCTTATATAAGTATCTGCGTGCATGCACGGGCTCGCGAATGCGTGTATGTGAAAGCAGGAACGCGGCGAGGAGGCGGCGGCAGTTGTAGGCGTTGCTGGGTGAACCTTATCGTCGGTTTCTGGGTGAGCGCGTCGAGGCGTCACTGGGTTTTGGCTCGACGACGAGAACTGGCTGGCAGGAGGGGTTGGGGAGGGATGGGGTGGCGGTGGCGGTGGTAGAGAAGCTGGTTGGAATGGTTGGAGAAAAGAGCGAAGGGGGAAGCGTACGATAAGACGTCGAGCGTCCCGACGCCAGCGTCCCTGCTCTCCCTAGCACGATACGCCTCTGTCATCTGAGCAAAGTGCCACCCTTCTGCTTTCCTCTTCCTCTCTTTCCTTTCCTTCCGTTTCCTCCTCTTCTCGTTCTGCTATTGCTACCTTTTCTTTTTTATCTCTCTTTTCATCTATCGCCTCTATCATTCACCTTCCCCCTTTAATTTTCTCCTTCGATATTCTTACGTCCTCTCTCTATTTCTCTGTTTCTTCTCCTTTCACGCTGATAATCTTCGGTCTCTTTGCCTCTCTTTGCTCTCCCGCCTTCGACGCGCTAATGGAAACCTGATAACAACTCTTCAATAGAGTCTCTTACCCTTCCACCTTGGCTTTGCGCCTCTTTTCTGACACCTCGCCTCCTGGCTACCGCCCCTTCTTCGCGTTCGTTTCGTTTCTGGCTTCCCCCGGTGCAGTTCCTCGCCACCGATCGAGAGAAGGCAGATGTTAAGTGGCGTTCGTTCCCTCGCTGTCGTTTTCGACACCGCCATCGCCGGTATGTTTGCCACGGTGTTTTAATATCGACTCGCGAGACCAACATCAGATTCGTCTTTCTCAATCTGGATGTCGTTGCTTTCTCTCAAGGGGACAGCTATCGTCTGTTGATGAACAACTTACTCAGTTGTTTGAGCAGTTTTTCAAATTTTCATTTTCGTACATGTAATTGCCAAAAGTAAGAATTAGATGATTGCAGTGGTGATTGAGAGATGAAGTATACATAAATGGTTGCGGATACCTGTGCTAATTATATTAATTTTATTATGAAATTATTACGAAGAAATAAGTGGTAGTTATTTTTATTCGTAAGTTAAATTCTTGTAGAGGGAAAAATTATCCATAGCCTGCTAAATAGGCATACTAACGCGTTTATATTTCCAATAGTTGCGTTCTTATTGCCACAGTTTGCGTCACTGACATTCAGTCATCGATTTAACCTTTGCACTTTGCTGCACTTTGTACTATAATAGGAAATTCTTGTTAAAATATACGATAGTTCTAATAACTTATTTTTTACTTTACACTTTTCCCTTCTCCAGCTTCTAATACTAAACAAAAACTGCCAACTTTTACAGGCACGTTGATAAACGTGAACGCACTAACTTTTATTAGCAATAAGTTTTACAATGATAAAGTATTCTTCTCCCAACTATTTTCATCGCTGATTTTACAAATGCCGCATTTTCTGTCCGTTTCTATTTTGTAAAAATTTGAAACATTTCGATTTACGCGCACAAAAATTTCGAATAACATGTCCAAGACATTCACACGATGTTTTCACTTAATTGACTGTACTTGTCTACGTATGTCTACGTAGTGACTGCGTATATTTTGTAATGCTTTCGCAAAATTGATCAAATTCACAAATTTTTTGCGGTAGAAAGTTATTAATTACTCGATCATTCAGCGATGAAGCAATTTTGTTTTCTTTTGCAATTTAGTTAACAGCCTTTGGGTTTTGAGGATTACTATTATAAAAAGAGGCTAAAGTATTATATGATTTAAATTACATTTTTTCACCAAACGTTAATATCATATCGTCACCTTATTATTAATATTACAATTAGACATCTTGAATATGGAGTTGATTTTAAACCTATCCACTTTTAATATTTTCAAATAGATACTGCTGTTAACGCTCGTGATCGGATCTCAATGAGATACCTATCGAGCTTTGTAGAGATTGCACGTGATGTGCCGACTAGAGTTCAATATGTATGTCTCGAAGGACCGCTCTTACAAATATAAGAAACTATGTAAATTATAATAACTCTTCTTCTATTATTCTTAGCAATGGTGTTCCC